TCTCTCTCTCTCTCTCTCTCTCTCTCTCTCTGTCTCATTTGCCGCTTTCCCATGCGTAGACCTGTATAGTCGTTTGTGGCGTCGGTGGCCTAGTGGTTAGGCTCTCGGACTCGCAACCGTAAGGTCGTGGGTTCGAATCCCGTCAGGGACCCGACGTTGTGTCCTTGGGAAAGGCACTTTACACGAATTTTCCTCACTTCACCAGCGAAAGATCTTGTCAGTTTGTTAGTGTTTGAGCGCTTAATCAGCTGCTTGCACTGTATGCTTCCCGGGAAGCTGAGAATGTTTCGGAGTGTTCTATGATCTGCTGGGGTAATAATATAGTGTAAAGCGCATAGAGCCTGCTGTTGAGCGGGGATATGCGCTATACAAATGCTATCTATTATTTTATTTATTATTAGTCTGTCTGGATCTCTCTGTCTGTCAGGATGAATATGTGTGTGTGTGCGCGCGCGCGCGTGTGTGTGTGTGTGTGTGTGTGTGTGAGTGAGTGTGAGTGTGTGTATGGATGGATGCGTGTATACATACATACATGATGTACAATTCAAGCCATGCGTATTTCAAGACGAATTATATTTTTTGAGTACATATAATATGTGAGGCATGCTGACAAAATGAGTTACTTCTCGCAATCCACAAATGGAGATATTGGCTAAAAATCGACATTACGGTCAAACTTGTAGATTTTCAATTGATGCCATATTCGTTAACTATAACCTGTCTTTTATTATTTCATACTTATAAACTGTAAAAATTTCACCTATAAGTATGATATATCTATTTCCTTAAGGCTTGAATCTGAGGAGTAACTCATTTTGTCAGCACACTTCACATATTGTGTTGTTTTCGTTGACAAAAAAGAATCACACAAAACCCTCGTTTGATAGATCTACCAGTACCCCATGTCGTGACGAGTGTGTGCGACAGTATTATATAACGGAGTTGACAGACTGACAAACGCTTATGTTGAAAATGTAGACGCCAATTATCCTCTCAGTGCTAAAATTAGAAAAAATAAATAAAAATCCATTCCACATAACTGCTGTTTAGGTTTCGGCCAAGGAGTACTGTATCTGCATTGTACTCATTGGTTTCGCCTCAAATCCGGTTGTACCCCGCGCTGGGAGCCGATCTATAATACCTCCTGGTAGAGGTGGGCAAAATCCGGATAATCTATAAGGATAACCGGATAAATCTCAATGAAACATTATCCGAATTCAGACTCTTTAACTCGCTAGCCTGACCTGTTTGCCGAAGTGGGTGCACCAATGTGTTGAAGTATTGCTAACCCGTTTGTTAAAGTGGTTCTAACCCATTTGTCGAAGCGGTTCATGTCATATTATTTGCCGAAGAAGTGCACTAACATGTTATCCGTATTTTTGCTAAAACGACTCATTGCCCAGCCCTACCTCCTGGTGAGATGATGATAGTTTCTCCTCACGTTTTTCCAACAAAGCTGGGAGGGGAGGGGGGGAGGGGTGATACTGTCGTTCAAAGGCAGAGCAACGCAACTGCCCATTTAATGGTTTTGATTAACCCACGTAAAAACTCATGCCGCTGCTTACATCATAATGAGATCAGTCACTTTGGAAGCTTTGCCACTGATAGATCGGATCACTACCCTAGATTTACACAGTTCTGTCTGCTCAGTGCTTAGTTTAAAGAAAGTTTTTTTAATTTAAAAATTGAGTTTCACGAATTACATGTCAAGTTTTTTCGAATGCAAATTAATTCCTGGATCTTGATAACGACTCCGAATAATCTTATGGGATTGAGAGATCATCACCATCATCAATGCCTTTCGCTCCTGGCATGGTTTAGGCCACATACAAGCTCCTTCCATTTATCTCTGTCCTGGGCCATTCTTCCTAGCTCGTTCCAAGTGAGCTTCATCTTTCTCATGTCCCTTTCCACGCATCTCCTCCGTGTTTCCTGTGGCCTACCCCTGCCTCGTGCTCCTTGTGGGTTCCACTGCAGTGACTGGCTTGTGATGTTTCCGCTGGGCTTTCTGAAGGTGTGCCCTATCCATCGCCACTTTCTTAGTCCTATTTTTAATTCTATATCCTTTTGTCCTGTCCAGGTTTAGGAGAGCAGATCAGTTAACATTTGCGTTTCTGACCTCATGGTCTTGGGAACTCAAATTACGGCCAAAAACGTCAGATAGAACTTTGTATTAAAAATGTGTAGATCTAATCAAAGGTAGATTCTATAGTATAACGACTTTTAAAACTGCATGTATTATTTCGAAAGTGGATATAACGTGGTCGTCCTAATTAGACACAAGAAGGATACAGGCAAGACTAGTGTGACAAACAAACAAACAACAACAGCAACAACAATGAAAACAACAACAACAACAACATCAAATCACGATTTCTTCCAGATACGCTGCTCTGCCCCTAAGAGGGCAGAAACTTTCATGGATATCCACGACTTCTCTTGTTCACTGAATAATACGGGGTGCCCTTTGCGGATGGGATTGGGTCGGGTCGGGGGCGATCGCCCCACTCGTCGCCTGAAAACAAACGCGTCTTTCTACTTTCTATCCCCATCCCCTCACCTCCTTTGCCCCCCCCTCT